CGTTTATTCAAGAGATTGTTTTCTACAGGTGGCTGTTAGTTCTAGTGATCGACCTATACAGGTGGCCGTTTGTTCAACTGATTGTCTTCTACAGGTGGTCGTTTGCTCAAATGGTTGTCTTATATAGGTGACGGTTTGTTCAAGTGATTGTCTTATACAGGTGGCCGTTGGAGCAGGTTCGACTGCACTTAAACTAATTAATAAACATCACTACTCACGTCGGCTGCCCTGGCTGGTGGTGGCTCGTGGTCACGGTGGAGGAAAAGAACGAGTCCTTGCCCAGTGTATCGCCAGAACTGACCGTGATAGATCGGAGACCACGTCCTTGCTCCGCCCCAGCCACGCCCACAGGTTTTAGAGGCTCCTCCCCCTCGGGTTCTTCTTCCGGTTCCTCGCCCTTCTCCACGTGGTAGAGGTCGCACATCAAACTGTCAAGGTCATTTGCGATGTTGCCCAGCATCTGAAGAATCACAAGACACAAAAGACCCGTTATAAAAAAAGTGGTTATCACTAACAGCTTCGTTCGATTAAAAATCATAAAGTGCATTCCTCTAGAGAAAGACCAAAATCATGACGAAATGAAGGGGCGGGGTGGGGGGGGGAGAGTCGTTTTATGAACTACGGCAAAGTGCAACTTCTGTCGTCAACAACAAGTTGGTGGCAACTGGCAGCACACGCCGAAACAAAGTATGTTGACTGATAGAAGCAACATGGGTGGGAGGTGTTAATGTGTGTCATTGTCGTGAAATCGGGCAATCGTCAAAACAATGAAACCAAAGAAACCGACAATTTTCTGCACCTTGTGGAAATTTGTACAGAATCACATTTCTGAAAATGTTGATAAAATTAATTTTTAAAATGTAAAATTGCGCTTCTCACGGACACTCAAGCTTTGAAGTTACAAAACTTTGGTGGCCATTTTTTCTCGCTAATTTTACCACCCGCACCAGGCGACCCCCCATCTCCTTCAAATATCTTGACTTCTCTTTGAGATAGATCGATATTTTAAAATCTAAAGCAAAACATATGAACAAACCTTAAGACAAAGCCAATAAACTCATATGCTCCAAAAAAACTGACGATCGCCTGATTCCATTATC